GGGGGGGGGGGGGGAATCAGGGAGGGAAAAAGTGGGAGGGAAAACTTGAAATCTGAATACAAGGCACTGGTGGGGGATCCAGTGCTTACCAGCCGTGTTGTCATATCGAAAAAGCCATTGTTTTTAATTCCTGCCCAGTATGAAATGTTTGTTGTAAAAAATCCTTCCTGCTGGAAAGAAAAATGTATTTTTAAAACGAAAAAAACGAAAAACAACCCTCTTTTGGCTTTGAGAATGTCAGCTGTACGAGTTGTGACCATATCATGACACGCTGATCAGATATAAATAAATTTTTATCTCTCAGGACTTTTATCTTGTATTTTTACTCTTCTTGTAACTGTCGCAGGTTTTCTGAAAGGATGCTCTGCATTTTTAAATATCGCTCATTTCAGCTGAGGCAGCAAGTAAGAAAAGGTAAGTGAATGTCATGTGTGCACACCCCTGTTTACAAAGAAATATCTCTTGTTGATTTATTTTTTGACAGTAAGCATCGTAACAGAGGCAAACAGAAGGGTATCTAGGCATAAGGAGTAGACAAAGAGTCTACGAGGAAGAGAAATTATCCAGAAGACAGTGACGTTGAAAAAAACTGAGAGACTGTGGCAACTGATGGCTGCCCATGAGTTTCCATTGTACATAAATACATAGGAATAAGTGAAAGGGCAGATTTGACCCTTTGGCTGCATAGGGGCAGAGGGCAGCAGGATTTCTGTCTGCAGTGCTAGTGAGACCATACATTGAATATGGACTCAAAATGGCTAGGTGGGATGGAAGAGTTTCTAAGGCAGTCTTTGCCTGCCCGCAGTGTCCTTGTTTCTAGGCCAGGCATGGCCAGCTGAGAGCTGAAATAAATGCTGCCCAGTCCCTTCATAAGGTTTCCTTCGCTTGGGAGGGGTGGCTGCTCACTGCTCCTTCCAGCTGGCTTGTCTTTGGTGGGACTGCACACTCCTAGCTCTGAGCTATGGCTCTAACTCATCTTGTGATTGCTGCACCCTGGATCTTCTTTTTTTCCCTTGCCCACAGCCTTGGTTGATTTTTAGTGAAGAATCATTCACTGGCTCTCCCTTCAGAAGCATCAGACTCCATCACGCAAAAGGTGAGAAGCTCCAACTTCAGACTCGGAGAAAGAAAGAAAACTCCCTCCACTGGACAAGACAGTAATTTTCCTGCAGTGAAAATGGCAAATTTAAAATCTGTAGAACAGAACTGATAGCTTGGGAGGGCTTTTCCCACTGCTTTGACTAAACCCTCCCTCGCAGCTGGTAAAAGCAGGGGAAGGTTTTATGTGCAGTGCTCTGCTCTGTGACACCGCAGCCCATCGCTTATGGGCCGTATGCTTGACCAGCACAATTTTAAGAGTCTTCACAGCTGAATCTCATATGCTATAATTAGGGTGGATTTCTTTTTCTGGGAAGTTTCCTAGTCAAAACTGATGACAAAAATAAGAGTATAAATACTCTTCTAATAGACCAGTAGAGTCTTAAAACTAAGTTCTGTTAATTGCCCACAGGCCTGGAGTAACATTTGCTGAAACAATGTCGATTAACCAGTGCTGGATTAATTTCTGGCAAATTAATTTTCTCCCACTTCTGTTTATTCTGTATTGATTCCTTTCTCACTTAAAGTTGTAGTTGGTGGGGTTTGTTGCCCCAGCCATTGCCCCAAGATAATACTAATGAGGTGTGGTGTGTGTTTTATGTCTGCACTCGAAGGTTCAGAAGAGCAGTATGTTTGCTAAGCAGCCAGAAGAACGTGCACGGGAGGAGAGTCTGCAGAGGTTGCCGCTAACACCTACTGCCCTGTGGCCCTTACACAAGTCTCTTGGTTGTGCTGAGGGAAGGATCTAGATCAAGATTGATTTTTAGCACCGGTCATTGCATAAACCTTACATGAACCCACACGAAATGAAGCTGTACCAGCCCAGCCATTAAGAACCCCAGACAGAACCAGTTAAAGGTACAAGGGTAATCTGGAAAAACTTCTTTTAGTGGAAGAATAAAGTCTAGACTGCTTAGTTTATCCAAGGGTAAGCAAAACACGAATCTCGTATGTACGAGTACTTGGCAGGTACCACCAGCTGTGGACTCCAGTATGGAGAAAAGGGTTTAAGGTGCAGCAGTTCAGCACAGAACATGGCCGAGCTCAGACTGAGGAGCGGGGGAAAGCCCCCGCTTGGGTTTGTGTTTGGTTCTCCATCCCTTGAGTCTTGAAATCAAAGCTGTCGTCTTAAATATTTTATTACAGAGCTGAAATAGAAGGTAGTGTTTAGCCTAATTACAGCGGAGGGTTGTGACCTGCATTATGCAGGTAACTAGACTGGATAATTGTCATGAGGTTTTTTGGCCTGAAATCTGTGAAGCTTATAATTGTATTAACAGCTAGATGGCCAGTTCTTTCTTTTGGCTTTTAACTTCTCAACACAAGGTTTCTGTTTTCTGCTCCGGGCTTATGAAGACCCTGATTCTGCAAGAAATAGCACCAAATACAATACTGATTTTTCAGACTGCTTGGTAATTTTCATATTTGGAGTAACTATTAAAATGCCTCCCTTCATTATGTAAACACAGATGATGGGAGCTGCACAGAGAATCCGGCCCCAGATACGTCTGAGCCATTATCCTCACCCAGAATAGCCAGGACAACTGCCTCGGGGAAAATTGTAAGGATCCCTGGAGTGGACAAGCATTGAATAACCTTGCTATATATAGGAATTTTCTTGCTAACCCTTCTATTAGAAGCTGGCTTCTGTCCTGGCCCACTGAAATTTATATCCCTATTTTGTTTTCCATTTCGTTTGCCGCCTCAGTGTCAGTTTTGCTTTGTTGTCCTGGTACAGTTTTGAGTTTGGGGAGGTTTGTGAATCCTGCAGGCCCCTTACAAACTCTTTCAAAACTCCCCTTTGTTTCAGAAAAAGCTTAATTAGTTATAAATGTTCTATCTTTGAATTGGTTGTTCCTTCTCTCTTGTGTTGTGAGAGATTTAAACAAAACAAAAAAATTTCTGATGTAGTTTTTTTCTCTACCTTTCCTGCCCGCCTACCATAACTGAGGACTTCTCTGAACTATTTAAATGTCTGTTGTCTTTCTGGTAGATCCATCACCTGCATAGTTAAGCTCCTCCTGCTTTTTATTATAACATCCAGAGAATTGATTGTCCTATCAGTATAACTTATTTAAATACTTATTCAATTACAGCTTGATGGTGAGAGGATTAGACTTATTAATGGATTTACCATTAGTGATTTCCTGACTCCAGTGAAACATATATAAATCACACAGTAAATATGTTAGCAGCTACAGCAAAAAATCTACTGCCTAATGTTTTTAATTTCCTGCACAAAAATACACACATTTAATTTCATTGCGCAGAAGACGAATAAAAAGATAAAGCTGTTCCATAAGGTAAAGTGAGCAAACAGGGAATTTACTTCCTTCATCGTAGCCTGCCTGTCTTTAAAAAAACAAAACGAAAACATACTCAAATGAAGTTAAGTTTAATAAGCTTCTGCTGGTATCTCCCTGAAATCTTTGAGACCCAAGGAGTTGTTTGTAGCAACAACATGCTGCTCCCTGAACCAGAGCTGCCGCTTGAGGGCTCTTGGGGGAACCACCTCTGTCTCCCTAAAGGATCTAGGAAAAAGTGGCCTATGATTTTCATTTGTGGCCCTTCAATTTATTACATGAAAATAAATCCAAAATATTAATTTAAGCCAAAGGATGAGTAGGTGGAAAAAATGACATATTACTATGCAGAAAGCTCTTGACCTTTATTTTCTGGTTTGCCTGTACTCTCTCCAGCACTTTGTTGTGTAAGGAGGTATTATATCTGCTGTGTATGGTAACGCAGGCAGCACGGCAAACCTGAGTGTATTAAGGGTAGATATCACAAGGTCAAAAGTGCCAATTGCACTAATTAGTGCAATCCTGACTAAGAACAGTTACATGACTTTATTTTTAATGAGCACAAGGATTATGGGAATTTAGATAGAACAATAATCTATTTTTATCTCGTATTTTGTAAGCTCAGAAGATGAGTCAGGAGTAAGCTGCAGAGTAAGGAAGGCCAGAGCCATGGCCGAGTGACCAAAACTGCAGGAGCAGAAAGT